GTTGGCTAACATGACAAATGAAAGGCAAACATACATGAAATAACATACACACAGTTACACACACCCCAAGGCCAACAGTGGAAAGGTTGAGTGGCAGGTAGTGAGGTGAAGCATTTGTCACTGTTAAAACGGAATATGTGTATGTGTGTGTTTGATTACTGCCATGAGTGGTGGTCTGTTGATGTGGGGCAAAGTAAATGTGCCTTCGGCAATCGTGTGTTTTTGTTTGTTTCTGTATCTATATGGGAACGCAGGGTGCTATTTTGTGAATGCGTCCACATTTTTATTATTGTCATTAAGTGATGGGGCTGCAGGGCTGCAGGGTGTGTGTTTGTGTGTGTGTGTGTGCGTGCGTGTGCGTGCGTGTGTGTGTATAACTGTTACGACTGTATAGTGATGTGGACCCTGGAGCTTTCCCACGGCCTAGTTCAACACCATCATGTTTTCTCTCCGCTTATTAAAAAACCTCTGCAATCCACTCTGCCTGCACTTCCCCAGGTGCACCTCAACTGCAGACCAGTGCATTCACACACACACCTTCCCTGTCTATAATTGAATTATAAATGCCTTACAACTTTAATTGTGACGCTAAGGATGCTGACTGTGTCCCTGAAACTTCTCGGATGTAGTCAGCGCTCACTGTGTAATTTCATGCATAGTATGTTTTGCTTCCAACACCATTTCCTTGCAGAGCACACAACTGGCAGCACTCACTGGGTTCTGTAAAACATTGGCTTGGCAGTGCCAGTATTTCTTGAAAGTAATACAATTTGCCCTATTCAGCTCATTAACCTTCCCTTTGACCCCTAAAGTATTTGACGTTATACTAATAATGGTTATAGATGGCATGTTGAGTAGTCTTCTCAGGCCTGTTTTCTAAACATAGCACGCCCCTACACCTGCTGCTTTCTGCACCACTGTGCCTGCGCTCAGAAGATTATTGTTGGTCTATAATCTATTCCACCAAGTAAGCTTGAAATCTGCTTTGGTTGCCAGACACCATCCAACTTGACCCAATAAATGTTCCCCATCTGAATTTGAAGGCTTCAAATTGCATTGATATCAGATGATACAAGGTTTTTGAGTTTTAAAAACTAAACCAGCTGGTGCCACATTAGGCATCTGTTTGTGGTGAGAATCCAGCCCACAAAAACATGATTGCCCATCTAGTGTTATGACAACCTTGGATGCTATAATATGTTAGTTTTAAAATGCACTCCCACCCCTGTTGCAAAAGCCAGTATATGTATTCAGAATCAGGATGGTAAGATGATACACCAACAACCAAAGTCCTTACTAGAGTTAATAGTAGCTAAACTAATTAAACATAAATGCAGTCAGTTGAGGGAAGAACACTATAAAAATATGAAGACCTAAAATAAAACATTTATTGCAACCCCAACACCCACGCGTACAGACTCAAATGTAATATTGTTAATGACCTAAGGCAAAATTGAAGAAATTAATTCCATGGAAACAGAGTTCATGAAACCAATAATAAATAAATAAAAGTGCTTTTTTTGGCTTGATTTTATTTGTTCCATTACTGTATATAAGCCTCACTGAATTGGAAAAGTTACAGATCCAGAATTGTTCTGTATATGATGTTTGTTGGTAAGCTAGCTAAAAGTACATTTTAGGGCTATACCCCAGGACAGGGCTTCTGTTATATTATTTTCACCATTAACACCCACCAGAAGATACTTGCTCTCACACTTAACAGCTCAGTCTGACAGCCATAGAGCGAGGAGGATGATCAACGGATGGAAATAAATGTTACAACTCTTGCTGAAATAAAGATCCAGGGTCCACCCGGCCAAAAGGTTAGATCATTTAATAAAAGTTGTATCTTTGTCATGATAGTTTCCATCTCACAGACACAGTAAAAAAAAAACTAAATTCTCCATCAATTTCTACTGTTAAGTCACTGGTGCTTTTCTGAAATATTTTCAATTGGAAGCATTTGGTGCTCAGAATAAAATGGTGTGCTCATTTATCGAGATGGCTGCTTGCGACTGGATTTTTTTTCACTTCTCCTTCATCAAGCTAAACTATTGAAAGGTATAATCTCTTTTAGGTAATGTATCAGATCACTAGACTGATTTATTCAGTTCACAATATTCTCAATATTTTCATAATATAATAATGTCAAACATTCAGAGCAATGACAAAAAAGGATATATGTATCAATATGTATATCTTTAAAGTTTCCTGAAGTTATTTTTAGAATGTGTGATCTGTTTTTCGGTTTTCACAGCTGTTCAACCATTTGGAAAGTTGTAGCATTTGTTATCAATGTGATGTCACCCTCAGTAACAACCAATACATCATAGGCTATCTGATACAGTTTTCACATGCAGATGTTTTGAAGGCTTGATTCCAACAAGAATGAAGTCTCTTTGGCTCGAAGGGAGGCGCTAACTTTCCAATTTTTGCATCTGCCGCACTGGAAGCTTTTAAAAACCTAACTGTCACCAAAATAAATTGTATTTCACACTACAGTTCATGCATGGTTTATGCTTGTGCTTGTTAGATGGTTAAACTCGACTGCTAATACACAGATGAGGAATTGGGCTTGCCTGAAGGTTAGAGGAAGGCTTGGGGCTGGCTTGCTTAAATGAATGAGTTATGTTCTACCATCCCTCAGCAGCTACTGTTGAAGTGCCCTTGGAAGAGGCACTGAACACCCAATTGCTCCAATTGAGCTGCTCAGTGGCCAGAAATGCAAAACTGTGGCTGCACTGGGTGGTTACCAAATGGGGCTGTTTGAAAGAGTGCAACCAGGGTGGGAACACGGCCACCATGCAAATGCTGGTTCATTTTGGCTCAAGCTGGTACCATAAGTTAGTTTACTTTGCCAGCCACTTTGGCAGGTAACTAACCATCACCCGGAGGTTCTGCTCTATTCTGAAAATCTAGTTACGATTAAGTGGAAGTATTTCATTACTACGTCTAGAACAGGGCTTCTCAAACTCCGGACCAAGGTCCGGATCCGGACCGAACTGCAAATCAATCCGGACCGAACCCTGTGTCCCATTATAACAAAATATAGAGATTATGCAAAATAAAAAAATGAAAACTTTCTGATTCTGATGTAAATTAATGTATATTTTCTTGTGTCTGACACGTTGTGAGAATGAACGTGCATATATATTTACTTGTGTGCGCGAGCGTGACACGCATTGCAGACCGCAAGTTAACCGCAAGTTTACCTTGACTTTCTAATGCTTCTAATGCCTTTTTTGCCGAGGTTCAAGGCATTGGCTACAGACAAATAGTTCAATTTCTCCCACTAGTTCAAGCCACCATACTGTATGTATGTATTGAATGTGTGTGTGTATACAGACTGCCTGCTTGCCTGCCTTGTGCCTTGCGCCTACAGGCAAGGCAGGCAAGTGCTTGGACCAGAAGGGGGCCCCCAAAGAAGGTAGATTAAGAAGGTCCACAGCAACGACAACAAGAAACACCCTTTAATTTACTGCAACAATACGTCAGGAAACCCCCTCAAGGGGGCCCCATGCATAGCGCACCGTAAGAAACTGCTTCTTAATTTCAGTTTCGTTCAATTGAAATTATCAATGCCAGTAAAGTCGAGAGGGGTCTGCCTGCAGGCCTGCAATCTCAGAACAGTTCCGGTGTAGGCTGCACTCTCAGGACACCTGCACTGTCAGTACAGGAAGTGACGATTCTGACGAACACATTTTTCCCCCGCCCCCCGAAAGACTCATTTGATGGAAGTGATGAGTCCGCCCACCGTGCACTTTGGGTCGGCCTTGGTCTAGCCCTTTTGACCCCCCAGCCTGGTTCTCGTAAAAGTTGACTGATTCCTCATTCACACCAACGCAACTCCGGTTCAAGCTCCGTGTTAGAGCTTTTAAGGTTCAGAACCGGTTCTTCGGTTTAGCTCTGGCTCTTTTCACACCGCCCAGAGTCCGACTGGTAATGCGTCATTGCCTCATCGTTTGCGTCATGATGTAACCGTTTGCGTGCCTGCTTCATAAAGCCAAATCGCGCGGATGAAATCAGTTGCATTCATTTCTTATGGCTCTATCTGCAGATTTTCCGGAGTCATTTCTGTTGTTCAGACTATAAAAAAGTGTATTCGTGTCAATAAAGTTTTTTTTAAAACACAACTACTGCTTCCGAGGTCGATCTTATTTCTTAGGGTGGACTGAACCATGAGTGTGGAGTAACGTTGTATCTTTCATTTAAATGAACTGTAACCTTCACCCAGGTATGTAACAGCTGTTTTCAAATGAACACGTGAAGTAAAGTTTAATATTTATAGTTTTATAGATTTATAATGAGTTATAATGAGAGGTGATCAACGTGAATGCTCAGGTTCCACCTTAACACGCAGACACGTTGCTTCACCATGAGCAGAAACCTTTATATATACAGTCTATGGCAGAAACACTGAAACTCTGAAACTCTTGTTCATTTTTCTCCATCGTGTGTACAAACTGGATAAACGGCGGGCTTTTTTGTTGTTGTTCAGGAGTTGATCCGCCCCTCGCCCCCGCCTGCCGACGTAAGCGTTACGTATTGGCGGTGCCTTTGCTGCTGGCCGGACAAATTCCTTTGGTGCTTGAAACGAACCCGATTCGCGGAGTAAGAGGCTCCAGCTCCGAACCGTCCTGAAAGCACCTACCGTTGGTGTGGAATGAGGTAATTTTTTTAGCCATTTTTCGGCTGCAAATGACACCATGGAGGGATGAAAGGGAGTTGACGGGGGACTCCTGGGCCCGCCTCACCGAGTCGCCTTAGTTTTGGACACCTTTTTTCACTTTCTCCCTAATTTTCCCGGCGTTTTATTTTTGTAATTTTTTGGCTATTCACTCACCCGGTTTCTACGGGGCCACTGCCTGGTCCCGGGTGTCCCCCACGGGCTGTGTCCAGCCGCGCTCCCACTCATCCCATATATTCACACTGATTTTTACCATTTTGGTTGCATTATTCCCCTCTCCTCCTCACTGATAGAATGGCAAAACGCGACCCACTGGTCGAGGGCCTCCGCGCCGGCCCGGCCCTAGTGCCGTGTTCTGGCGGTCGGTTCCTCCGAACTTGCGGGTTCGCTCCTGATGGGCCGGAGGGTAATGCTGCTTTTGGGTGGGGGACTTCCCCCACTCTGTTTGTTCTCTTCCTTCCCGGGCCGGCCGATATGAAGCGTGACCAAGACGCACCGTCTGACTCCAGGGGTCCCACGGGTCCCGCAGCGGGGTGGAGGTTCCAGCTGGAACCTCCCCACCTCCGCCGCGGTGCACCCGGGCAAACACGGTTGTTTTCTCGAACCCTCCCTGTTGTCGCGGGTGGTAACTAAATACAAGATGTCCGTATTTATATATATAAATAAATATTTATAATATATATAAATAGATAATAAGTGTCACATACATTTTATTTTGTATTTGCGCTGCTTCCTGTTTGGAAAGTTGGCGCTGTACTGATTGTGGGCGATTTTATTTTTGGAATTTATTACGTGCACATCCTTTAACTGAGACTGGAGGTGTCCTCAGAGTGCGCAGGTGTCCTGAAGACCTGCTGCCCTGCAGGAGGCTCCCAATGGTAAAGTCCCTGTTTGATCCGGACCAGTGACCTTGTAAATACAATATTCACAAGTGGACCTTTACCTAAAAACGTTTTGAGTACCCCCTGCAGACAGGCCAGTAAACCATTAACAATACACTGAACAGCCGACACAGACAGACAAGTACACTACAGCGATACACGACGCCCTTTCCTGTAACTTCCCAGTATTTCCANTCTATTCTGAAAATCTAGTTACGATTAAGTGGAAGTATTTCATTACTACGTCTAGAACAGGGCTTCTCAAACTCCGGACCAAGGTCCGGATCCGGACCGAACTGCAAATCAATCCGGACCGAACCCTGTGTCCCATTATAACAAATTAAAATGATACAAAATAAAGAAATAAAAACGTTCTGATATTTTCTTGTGTCTGACGCGTTGTGAGACTTTACTGGCATTGATCCGGACCAGTGACCTTGTATAAAATTCAAATTGGACCTTTAATAAAAAAGTTTGAGTACCCCTGGTCTAGACTAGCGGCCACATTGTAAGCTAGCCAACCATTAGAAGTCTTATTTCAATTTAAGGTTTTGAATGGGTGGAAAAATAAATAGAGGGCATTGTAGGTTGTCACATCACAACATGTTGTGTCATGCTATGACATAATGTTTCCGGTAGGTATTGACTTCTTCAGTTTAGTCTTTCTTGATTGCAGGGTTAATATATACGTTTGATCTTGCACTACCAAAATGAAACCACTCTTGGTTTTTCCAAGATCTGCTCCTTTTACAAGTTGAGAGCCTCTGATCCTGAGGGTCAAATTCAATCTGACTGCCTTTATTATACTGCATATAATTTATGGTTCAGCTATTACTAAAGATCAATAGCACTTAAACTACTCCATTGATATTGAAACCTGCACTGATTTACAAGCAGATATATCTTTGGTCAAAATCCAGACATACACATACACAAACACACTTTAGAGCAGTGGTTCTCAACTGGTGGGTCGCGACCGAACGGTGGGTCGCAGACCCGTTTGGAGTGGGTTGCAGATGTGTGAGTGAAGAAAAACTACAAACTTTTCTAATGCTGTGCATGCAGTAGGCGTTGGACTGGAAGTACCAGAGACGATAAACGGTTTTGAAAACTTCTGTCACGTAGTGATCATGTTCTCAATAAAAATGTCTTTGCTGATGTTTTTTCGAGGTTTCTGGCCAATCAGAATCAAGATTGTTGCCGGAAGTCCCCACGGAGAATAACTTTGCGGTCAAACTATTATTTTATACATCCATGGGCATAACTTCAGATAGAAATGAACACATAATGAAATATGTCCCCCGGTTTGATGATTGACAGGTCACAGAACAATGGGAGCTATCTACCCTTACCCACAATTGAAAGGAAGTCACACAGATCCTCTTTGCTCTTATCTCTGTGTGGAGCAGCAAGTTCAGCTGTCAGAACAAAGTGAAAAACAAACAATGGCATACAATATTATTAGTATGTTGGGTAGTAATACATTTATTTATTTTCTTCTCAGAGTGTACCAGAATGCGTAGTTTATATGTTAGTATTTCTAAAAGCATACTTTAGTTCTGGGAAGGGATATAAGGGATATATGCACTGTACTTCACTTTAATTAATAATGTATGCTGAAAAGCGTATATATTACAGCACGATTTCTTGTTGAATAGATTTCAGTGGTTCAAAATTTCGGGTCGCGATTTATTGACAAAGGAAAAAGTGGGTCCCGAGGCCTGACCAGTTGAAAATCACTGCTATAGAGGACAATGTTTTACCATTAATAGCTAAATATTATATTTGAAAGTGTGGTTGTAAGGATTGATACATACACAAGCAGGTAAACATGGCTACACCTACAAGAACAAAAGCACACATTTAAGTCCTTCACTGCAAATAGAAAAGACTGCAGAAGACTTTGAGTTTGTGTGTGTATCTGTGTGTGTGTGTGTGTGTGTGTGTGTGTGTGTGTGTGTGTGTGTGTGTGTGTGTGTGTGTGTGTGTGTGTGTGTGTGTGTGTGTGTGTACATTTGAGTGCCAACTACCAATGCACTAAGACTCAGGGATTGTCAGCACTGCCAAGGATATGACACCAGCTCTGCAAAAAACAACCAGTAGATAGATAGATGGACTGGTGAAAGTGGATGGAAATCCTTTACACTCAATGGGCAAAGCAATGGACTAACACTGCCAGGGTTCAGATTTGTTTGTTAGCAACCCATGCTTTAACTTGGGGTTAAAGAGGGATATTGGGGATCACAGCAGGAGATGTTGCACAATCATGTTGATTACTTTGCGTCTGAAATATATAACCCACCATATGTACTCATATGGAATCACCAATCAAATTGTAACATGTTGTTATTGTATGTTATTGTAAAACTCTTGCATTTTGCTGAGTGTTTGTTTCATAACTGTGGCTTCTTTGACTATGGGGCATCATTAGTCTGCCTATACAGTATGGTCTTTATGCAGTTCCCTAATTCAGGGGGCTAATTTGTGTGTTTTATTTTGGTTGTACCAATAAACAAGTGTCTAATTGTTAGTCTTCAGAAGGCTTATGCGGCCGCCCCGAACAATGAGTGAGTGCCATCTTCTAACTCATTGAAATTGAGGTGATGAGTTCAAAGTAAGCAGTACGTTTAAGTCAGAGTGGCCACAATTATGGGAATAAGAACCTAGGTTGAAGCAGAAAACCAAATTCCCTTCAAGACATCATGATCTTGGAGTTTTGTTATGCAGTGCAGTTCTGAGTTAAAAGTATAAAAGCAGGGGTCTAAAATCCTATTACCATTATATATTCACTTTTGTTATGTTCGACCTGCCAAGGTTCTTACTGTACAATAACACCAGTAAAGCAGGAATTTAAAAGATGACAAATGGTTGGATAACTCCGTTTTGAAAAATACAATTCAAAAAGAGCCTATTTAATCTCAGGGAAAGAGTTATATTGAACTAAATGCAAGATATTAACCCTCTGTATACTTTATGTCTGTGCATGTTATACTATCAGATGGAATGTAGAGGATCAAACATTAGAGGATCAAACATTGTATACATGAGACAAAAACATCAATACCCCCACAGTTCTGCAGGTCAGGCTCATTGGCTAACAGTTAAGGCCACTTTAAAACAAGAATGTCAATTTTCATATTCGAATATCCAGCTGAGTGAAAGTCCAGCCAAGAATCCTGGTTTCCTTCTCAGAGATATGATCGCAGAAAATGCTACCTGAAATGTCAAACCCCAGGGGAATGTTATCGATTTGCTGATTTATCCAATCACTGGTTATCAGGATCAGCAGGGGCACTTAAAACATGGACATTTCCACTTACAACTCCTTTCAGCATTTCCTCTAATGTTATTGTTGTTTTTTCTAAACTGTAGCATGCATGTGTTTTTGATTCTACGTATTTCTTGTAAGGATATATTGTTCTTTTTAAATGCATTTACAGTAAGTAAAACACACCTTGTTATTTTGTTTTTCTCATATTTTATGTGCAAAGCTTTTGATATTGAGGTAATCCAACAGTGAATCGAATCAAATTGCATTATTTGTATAGTGGTACTTATATTAGGTTACTGATTACATGTTTTAAAGGTAACTATTAAGGAATTACATGTTAAAGGTCCCATGTCATGCTTTTCTGGTAATTACCCGTCCCCTTGTGTGTTATGAAGGTTTTTATGCATGTAAACGGTCTGCAGAGTCAAAAACCCTCAAAGTATACCCTGTAGCGAGTACAACTCTAACACAGAAAATACCTGTGTATGCTGCCCCAGAACGCCTCGTTGGAGATTTCTCTTTTTCCATTTGTTTCTTCCGGGAACCGCATGACGTCATGCGGTTCCCGGAACCAAAATGGACCAATCCGCGGAGCTCCTCACACACCAGGAGGGGTGGGGACCTTTAGCGTACATTTTCAACTAACAGGGAGTTCCCTGGTTGGGAATAGACGAGTTGGGATCGCGGAGAAATGCTCTCCGCAGTCCCATTCTCACAGCGTTTATAAACCTATTTCTTACTCAATATCAAGCCACACTTATTGTCTTTACTTCGGCTGTGAGTGTTTGTGTGTGCTCAGGATGAGTTCCGCGCTGTCCCGCTGTATCGCCGACCCGGAAACCACACCAGTAAGCCAGCTCAGTGAGCAGCGAGCCTCGCAACGTCCCGACCAATCAGAGCACACTGGGCTCACAGGGATGGGGGTCAGGAGCTCCAACAAGCCGTTTAGGACAGAGTGAATACCGGTGAATACACATACTTTACCGAGATGCTGTATGAGAAACCAATGTGGGTTTGGAAATTGCACAATATAAATCTATTTTTGTAGACCTCAACAAAGGAATTATGATCAGTAGAAATAGCCATGACATGGGACCTTTAAGTAAAACAAACACACACACACACACACACACGCACGCACGCGCACACACACACACACACACACACACACACACACACACACACACACACACACACAAACACACACACACACACAAACACACTGTAAAACGCACGCGCAGTCACGTAGTCGACAGGCACCAGTGCGCACAGGTCGTATACTTATTCGTGCCAGTTAAGAATGAACGTTAAACACATTACACTGAATTGGTCAATTACAAACAATGTGATACTAAATAGAGAGTGAGACAGAGGAGAGAGAGAGAAATAGGGGATGCTATCGTCCCATTGACTTCCTTCACTCTGCTTGTAGGCTGTCTTACATTTTTACCCAGACACTCGGATGCAGCCAGGTCGGGGAAATCCTCCCCGCTACCGAGCGTCCCACCGACGCCCACGGCAGCTCTCTGCATCAACTCTCTGTGCAAGCAAAGCATTTTGAAATTCACCCCACGCTCCGTAGGCTACACCGACATGCAAACTCCCCCTCCCTGTATTCCCTCACCAACCTAGAAAGAGTGTGGATTTTTGTTTATGTGCGATGAAGGACCAGATGTTCTTGCTGAGTGCTGCATCAACCCGGAGCTGGGTTATTCGATACACCATTCGTTTATTGAACCTCGAGAGGTTCAGCATCCAGGTGCCCTCCTTAGCATCCTGCCATTGGGTCAATAGCCTAAAAAGCCACCCGCTATCCATCAAGCCACTCAGCATTACATTTGTACCCATCATCCCCAGTCACTCTGCTGCGGATTAATCCAAACTGCCACCCTGTTATTATAACAGTTATCCGACCAGCCACACATCTTCCCCAGTCACCCATCAGGCCACCCAGTCGTCACCCACCCAGCGGAGGATTGCAACTCTCTCCCCTGGAACAATTTCGTGAGCGTCCTTACCTTGAGCGCCTCTATATCCAAAGACGTCGACCGGTCCATGATAGAGAAGTGAAGTGCTGCAAATCAGTCACGAAAATAGAAGTCCCACTGGCGAAGAAGATGAGAGGGAACGAGATTAATAGCGGAGACCAAAAAAGTTGGTGTGCTCTCTAGAGTCCCAAACTCTGCTGCAACATCCCCCGGATTATTGTCAGGATTAGGTTATTAATAATACTCCACCACAGCGACCGATGTTCTCAGTTTTATTCCTCCCGGTGGGTCGCTTGGTAAAATCAGGACTCCATACAGTCCTCCTAACCTCCGCTCCCCGGTTTGTCCGTGCAGGGGATGGAAGGAATTTAAAACAATATGCAAATGGCAAACAATTAGCTGTGCGTAATGTTTCAGCCGCGGCTTTTGCACACTTGACAATCCTGTACGTCTTGTTTGTTGTTACATCTAAGTAAGAAATATTCCCCCCACTGCAGGAATGACGCTGGGAAGTCTCCTGACTCTCCTGACCGTCCGTCAGCGGATAAATGCCGTTATTCCAGTTGGTTCCCACTACATGTCACTGAGGTGTTGTGTCTGCTCGTGCAGTGGTCGGCAAGTGGAGAGAAGGAGTCCGGATCAGACAGATGATATTCTGCCTTGCCTGGGCGACTTCCATGCGGCAAACCGCCAGAGATATCAGCTCTCCCCGAAATAAATAGGAAAGAGGGAGAGGGAGAGAGAGAGAGACCTGCTGGGAGAAACGCTGAAGAGGAGATGAGGAGGGCTGCGAGAGTTGAGACGAGAGGAGAGAAGGAAGGAAGGTTTATGCTGTATATTATTCCAATGACTGACGCACCGGTGTGTGCGCGTGTCTGTTAGTGTTTGTGTGTGTGACAGAGAAAGAGGGTGAGGAAGGGAGGGAGTGAGAGGAGAGGAGAGGAGAGGTAAAGGCTTGCTCTAATCAAGTAGATGAATGGAAAATGCTACTTTGCCACTGAAGACAAGAAGATTTAAATGCAGAGGCTGTTGGAAGGCTGTTTCAGAAAGTCAGGGGTAGGTGCCCGTGTGTGTGTGTGTGTGTGTGTGTGTGTGTGTGTGTGTGTGTGTGTGTGTGTGTGTGTGTGTGTGTGTGTGTGTGTGTGTGTGTGTGTGTGTGTGTGTGTGTGTATGTCTGTGTTTGTGTGTGCGCGCACGTGTGTGTATTGCGTGTGAGTGTGTGGAGATATTGCACAAAAAGATTCATATTGAGGTAAAGAAACATAAATGAGACTTCCCTTTTCTTTTGTTCTCTTTGACTTTCTTTCTTGCCTTCTCTCTTTCTTATGTATGGTCATTGAAAATGTGTTCTGATATATGTTCTTCACAGAAAATGAGCCAAGGCCATTGAGTGTGAGTTTGAAAAAATAATTTATCATATCATTTTTCTTTTGCTAAATAAGGAAAACTGGTCCCATAGACCCGAACACCATACAAGGGTTAATGTAGGACAGCATGTTTCCTTTGGCCTTGAATCCTTGACTACTGAGCTGTTTTTAAGAAAGACTTGGATTACATTCTTTTTTTCACCTACTGCACCATGTACAAATCTGCAGAACCAGCCATCTTCATCAGTTGCAATTTCCTCATACACATTTACCCTGTCTTCCTTACCTATAGTATAAGATATGATGACTGCAGGCAAGGCCAGGCAGGCAGGATATACTGAATAATGTTCCCTCATAGACTCAGACCTCCTCTGCCAGCCAAGCGGAAAACACCTTGCCATGCTGTAACAAGAAGGGATATGATTATCACTTCTAGATTACATTCTGCTGAGGATGTAAACCGTGAGGATTATTATCCGTTTTATAATTTATCAATATTTTGTGAGTCGGCAAAGCTTAAAGTGTGTGTTCAGCTGCATCACCAGTTATCTTTTATTGGCCAAAACAGTCTATGCTAGTGTGTAAAAAAAGAGTATCATTATGTTTGTCAAATGCGGGGGACAGGATACCAAAATGTATTAGATAGATTCTGAATTTGGGGCCACTGTTATAGTATTTCTTTAGCATTAACATTATGTTGTTGATGAACAACCTATATGACTTTTGCTGCAGCTTCAGAGCCTTTATATTATCACTTTCAATCCCTTTCCACTGTTTATCTGATGTCATAATGGGCTTCAAGTGCAGTACGCTTGTGTTCAATCTAATGAATATGGCAGTGAGAGTGGTCACACGCATGCATTTGTACATTATTGCTAAGATACCTAATGAAAACACACACACACACACACACACACACACACACACACACACACACACACACACACACACACACACACACACACACACACACACACACACACACACACACACACACACGCACGCACACAGCTATAGGCCTATTGAATAGCACACTAGAGAACACAGAGGAACATTTGTTGAGGGAGTTGGTCAGAGATAACGAACATCATATTAATGAATGCCTCAATCATTCTCTCCGCTCCTCCCTCTCTGTTATATCGCTCCTTTGCTGCTTTCCTTTTTTCTCTCACTTCAACTCTTCCTCCCTCTCGCTGTCTCTGTTGTTGCTTGCCTATAATCCCTCTCTACTTGTACCCCTTCTCTTGCTCTCTCTCTGTTTCTCTTTTGATGTTACACTCCCCTGTTTCTCTCCCTCTCACTTGCACTGTTTAGCTATTTTCTGCTCCTGTGTAACTCGGGGACCCCCGCCACCTCCACCTCCCTCTCTTTTTCTTTTCTATAAACTTTGCTCTGCCGGGCAATTAATCATTTTCCCAAGTATTCGTTATTGTTATAAGGGAGCGACTTATATCAAATACAGGCACCCAGTCCTGTGCCAGCTGGATATGACATCACCCACCTCTCCCCTCCTTCTCTCTCTCTCTCTCTTTCTCCCCTCTCTCTTTCTATCTTCCTCTGCCTCCACACCTCCCCTGCATTTTAAAACACCATAAACAGTTTTTCTCTTCCTCCATATTATCTCTCATTTACTTGGCTTCATCTGCTGCTTGTCCAAAAATGCAAATGTATAGCATCCCTCTCACATACATGTTGATGTCATAATGGTTCAGCAGAAACAAATATTAGTATTACGCTATTGTCATTTCCCATATGAATATGCACTTAGCTAAATTAATCTTGTTTGTCTTTGCATTTCTCCTCTTTCCTTAATGATGTTAGACACCCTCAAGACTATAGTGTGTCGTTTTACCTGCATGCCCCTTCGCTCTAAAGAGCCATGCAGCTGTGCAGTGGCAGCAACTGACTTTAACAGGCTCTCTGTCTCTCTCTCCTCCGCTCTCTCCCTCTTACAGCACTCTCCTAGGCTGGGATCAGATAGGAGCTGTATTCTTCTGCTTCATGCAAAGTGCAGCTGTTGGCTTTGCTAGCTGCACAGAGAGAGTAAAAGCAGGGTCACTCCATGTTGCCATGCAGAAGAAATGTTGACAGCAACTTAGAAGTTACTGGTTACCATTTCCTTGCTTACCTGAGATAATGTAGTGGATGCATGTCAAAATGAAGACAAGAAAGTTTAAGGAGGATGAAGGGAGCAGCATAATACAGATGTGCAAAATTCATTTCAACAAGTGAAACATTTATTTAAGTTTGCACATTTGGAACAAAAGCTAAACTGTAAAAAATCCACTATTGCTTATTGTAGTGAATATGTTCTGCTTTTGGTAGTCCTCTATGATCTTTGAGTTTTGAACAAAAGCTATTTTAAAATGTCAACTTGGATTTGGGAAAAGGTGCAGGGCATTTTAATTATTTTCTGATGTAGACCAAATAATTTATCAGAAAATAGTAAATAATAGCCTCAAACATAATGTTTTCCGAATCCAATCTGTGCTACAGCTTATTAACTCCTGTGACCTTTACATTGAAAAAGTTGTTCAACTTCCGTCCTATTCTAGCAATGCAAAGCAATGCCACGGGAGTCATTTGACAAATTATGCAACCAAACCTAGCACGTCTGGGGATTTTCAGTGATGGAGTTCCCATAGAGCGAATGAACTGTGGTTTAACAAGACTGCAACACGTTCTGATTGTTTCACGGTGCATCGGCTTTAATATTCCTACATGCGTTTCATTTCAACAGTGTGTGTATGTGTGTGTGTGTGTGTGTGTGTGTGTGTGTGTGTGTGTGTGTGTGTGTGTGTGTGTGTGTGTGTGTGTGTGTGTGTGTGTGTGTGAGAACAAGAGTGAGAGAGACGGGGGAAGAGCTTGAAACTATAGTAGACTTCATTCTTTTACATAAATAATCACTCCATACAATGCTTGCTAATTAATATTTGTTGTGTTTATTTGTGTGCTTGTCTTATTAATAATAATCTCTCACTGCTTTTTAGCCGAACATTTTAGAGCATGGTTTTTTTTTCCAGCACATCTGAGATATTCACACCCTCCCCATCCACTACCTCCGCATAGAAAAAGCTGTTTCTTTTGTCTGTATTTCTTTCTTTTTTAAAAAGATAAACAGGCCAATTGGTTTTCAACAATATTTATTACCTGAAAGTAATTTGATGTGGCTCGGAGAAGAATTGTTGTCAACAGAGGGTT